TTCTAAAGTTTTACTGTCATACACATGAACATACATGTTATATATAAGTACATCGGGATCAATTTAATTAAAAAATTCGCCTGGTGATAAGATAATCTGCACTTTTCTGAAAACTCCTATCAAAGTGTTTGTGTCTCTTGGATGAAGAATAGATCTTAAATAAAACTGTTCTTTGAACAACCCTGATGTGGTTAAGCTTTTCTATTGTAATATATAAACAGAAGATCTAGGTGATACACACACACACACACACACACATATATATATATATATATATATACACACAAAATCAACAGGTAAAATAAGCATTCTAATATTTTTACCCCTGAACATTCTAAGTCAGTTAATAATCATTAAAAAATCAAATTAATGTTACTTAAATAGAAGTTTGTTTAATACTGGAAAAAAAACATATATAGGCTTTTGTTTTGGGGGGGGAAGTTACTCGAGTAAGTGGAAGAATAGTAATTCCAAATGGGCTAGGTTTCTCATGCTATGAAATGTGTGTGTGTATGTGTGCACATACATACATACATATATATATATATACATACACACACTATATTTTTATGTTACATGGCAAAGCTTATACCTCCAACATAGTTAAAAGAATTTGTGTGAATGGAAAAGACAACTCTTTTAAGGTTATGATAAGCAAACTCAAAACCTTTAGAGGTATCTTAGTTGACAGGCTTTAAAAATCCATTTTTTAACATTGGCTGTGAGGCACTCCAAACTTGCAGGCTAGCCTATGTCTAAATTCACACTGAGACAGGAGAAGGTAACTCGAGCAAGAATTTCATCCTTAATTATTTCTATTTTTAAAAACCCCCTCTTAACTGCTCAGACTCCACAGCACAAGGAAATAAAGAACTGGGGTCTCATTTTTTCCCTTTGCTTAGGGTCTAATGACTCCGTCAATCATACTGATCCTGAACTGAAAACCCAAACAAACAGACAACTATGGAGTTGCCCTCCATCCTGCTCCACTGAAAATAAGGGACACAAATCTGGCAAAAAAAAAAAAAAAATTCGGGCTCCGTGTGGAAGCTACAGTATAATTTGGAGAAAGACATGTAAGACCATCTGTATTCAGCCATGTCATTACTCAAAGATAGCTGGCTGAGGCAAGGGCAGGAGAATAAGGAGTTTGGTGACGTACAACAAGAGTGGCTGGTAGTCCTAACTAACTAGGTACAGAACAACATGCTGCACACTTAATATATTCAGCTCAGGCATTTATAGAGAAGGTTCTGCATAGAAAATGGAAGGGGTTTTTTTTTTCCTATGGATTCAGAAAAACTAGGTTCCCAATTCAGACTACCCTATGTGACTTTTGTCATTATCATTTTTTCTGATTCTTACAAAGTAAACCTAATTAAGAACCTCCCTCATTAGTCTTCCAGAAAAATTAGCACAGCTTATGCTAATTACTCCTGCAAAATTTAATAAACTCGTTGAAATGGGAATAGTCTAATGAGGTTTTATTTATTGAACTAAGATAACTCCAAGGAAAAAGGTTAGGACACAAGGATATCCAATGTGGTAATAAAACTACAATTTATTCAATTTCTAAACACGAATTTTATTGCGAACCTTTTAAATTCAAATCTGAGTTACTGTGTGAATATGTTAAATCAATCTCAACCTTAATTCAATAACCGCAAGTCATTTTTTGCTTTTTACTTTAACAGTAATTACTACACATAGCCCTTTACCTCAACAATGATAAAATTTGCTGTTATTAGTTCCTGGTCATCAGCTGTTAAATATAATATATTTGACATTTCCCATGTCTACACAGCCCAAATATCTGGATCACTGGGCACAGCCTGGGTTTTACCATTCTTAATCAAGCCACTTGGCATCGGACAGAAATATAACCTGGCAGTCAACCCCAGACGCACGTTTCCTACATTTGAAGGAATTTTCCAACAAACTTTTTGGATGTGACTCGACAAATTGTCACAAGCCAACAGGATCGTTTTTCTTACTGTCTGCATGCTATTATCAAAGAACAAAGTAGAAATCCATTTTCCAGATCACAGTATACTACTGCTCATTTTGTTAATTCCACTTTTTGAACAGACTATGCCAAGCTGATGTCCCCAAGTCACTGGTGGCAAATAATACAGCCAAAACTCAACACAGAAATAGCTTAGCCTGCACCACTGCCGTATGACCAGAAAGCCTCTTCTATCTACCCTATAAATAGTTTTCCTGAATAACCACTGCTAAAAGTATGGGTTTTTTTTTTAAGCAGTGTTCTTCCAAAATCTGAAGGACAAGCAAAAGGAGCTAAAAATTATTGGTGCCCAAAAGGCAACTGCGTGTTAAAACTATGCGAAACCCTAACACAGAGATTGCCTAGACCCTCAGTTCTATAATTACATCTTGTATGCGTCTTGTAGAAACAGTTACTACTGCTACGGAATGATGCAGCCCCATAACCCACTTTTACCAAACGTGCAGCGATTCACATTCATAAACCTGAAAACAAATCAAACCCTAAGGATGTCACACAGATATTATGCAATCAGTAATACAAAATCAAATTGGAAACTATGAAATTCAAACACGGTTGCCTTCCTTGTTTTTTTTTCTCCTTTGCAGCAATTTTATGGAATTGAAAAATCTTTTCTATTTTGCCCTTCCTTGTGTAAGTTCTTGTTGTTACTCTCTTCTCTCGTCATTAATAACGGAAGTTTCACGTAACAGCCTAGACAAGACTGGAGCTTTAAAACCTTTGGCAGACTGAAGGACAAATAAATTCTGAAAACTCAGATGCAAATAAGAATAGCTAAGTGGGGTTCTGCGTATCAGCTGGCACCCCTGCTTAAAAAGACAGTTCACGGGAGACAGGGGCAACAGCCAGCCAATAAACATATGTTGCAACTTGTGCAGACGCGCTGGGTTTCAGCTGTTTTTAACGTTCTCCTCTCTTAAGAGACCAACATTGGCTACACACTGTTTTCTACTTTGTCAAACCCAAAAGAAAAAAAAAGTGAAAAGGATAAATGTCATGAGTAATATCTCTAAAGCCACCAACAGTATAAAGTGCATACTTATTTTGCCTAAATTGTTTGAACTACCCCAGCCAAGAAAAGGTTTTAAGTACCCTACTGGGACAGATGCAGAGCGGCAACAATAGAAGCCACACTAATGCAATCCAGGTAACACAATCCTGTTTCAAAAACACGGCCGGGCTAATTACAGCGCTGCTGAGTCAAGTTTCTTCTGCCATCGCAACCCACAGGAACAGGTCAAAATCAAATGTTATTCAAACCACAGTCATATCAACCTTCTATATCAGAGTCGTGGCTTAAAACCAAACGAAGAACTTAAAAGCTTAACCCATTCACAAGCACAAAAAAAAAAAAAAAAGTGTTTTCATTGAGGGTGGCAAGGTAAGGCTCTTGTCATCATCAAAACCAAAAGGAACTGTGTAACAGAACAAAACGCTTATTTCAAAGTTTGGGGGAGTATTTGGGCGGGGCCTTTGATCAGAACACTTTCTTTTTGATGGATGAGTAAGAAAAACACACTTCCAATAACAAATGGTATTTTGGAGAGGTGTTTTTAAGTGAAACAAACAGCATAAAGGTTATGCCTATTTTTTTTATCCCATTTGAAAATTTAATGGCCCTTGCCAGAAAAAAAAAAATTGCGTGAATGGCAGGCCCACTTTTGCAGACAAACCAGCTCTTCTGAGTCTGGCGGCAGCACAGTCTCAGCACATATTAAACATTTACCTGTGTTTACTCTGAGTCACGTATATTAACACATTTATCAGGCAAAAATGCACATTGTTAGTGAATATTAGTGAGAAATATTTACTTGAAATATTGGATGGAACTGTAAGCTTTAGAAAGTAACGTAACAATCAAAATTAGGCTGAAGCTACATGAGTCAAAATCAACAATCAATGTTTTGTCATAAATTATGATGAAGCAAACACTTTTCAGTGAACTAAAAAATGATAAAGCAAACCTCTAGAAGGTAAAGAATTGGGGAAAGATAGGTAAGTGGGGGGAAGTTGTCAAAAATCGATATTACCAAACCCCAAACAGGGCTTTTGTTCAGCTGTAGATTCCTTCAACGAGGCATCCGTCGGTCTTACTTGTAAGACTTTTTTTCCAGCTAGCGGGGAGTGCTACCTCCTCTCCTCGCTGACAACTGACTGTATCTATACCCCTTGCTGGACATTTAACTCTCGGTGAGTAATGCCGTAGAACAAATGTTTTATCATACGTGTTCCCATAGAATGAATTTCAATAATTAAAATGTAAAAGGAATATTTGAAATGCAAGTTTGCATAATATGAACACACACACACTGACTTGAAATTGCACCGAACGACTAAAACAGATTTATTGTCCCACAGTGATTTACTTGGTCATGTCAGATTAGTAATATGGATCTGTTTAAAAACACGATAATTAAGACAGGCAGGATAAATTAATCAACTTACAATACAGTACGAGCTGCAATCAAACCCCAGGAAATAACGGTAGAAAATCTTGCTTCACAGATCTCTTTAAAACTGCTTTTATGCATAAATAAAACCTTAAAATGTAGATGGATTACATCCAACAGAACTACTGTAGCTAAAAGTGATAATGATTCAAACATTTTTCAAATAAAAGTTAAATATTTATAAGCACCCAACCACATTTCATAAATCACAAACTATTATTATTTTATTTCTGAAGCTTCCTGGCACGGCATGAGGACTGAGCCACAGAAAGTCAGGGAAGAAAAAAAAGATCCCTTTCGGAGCATGAATCAGACACGAAACCAGAGCCATCCAAGAAAACAGGCCTCCAAAGAACATTCCATATGGCTTTCCCAGGAGTCGCAAGAGCTCGGCGCAGATTAGGTCACAGCCAACGGGCGGATTTCGGCCACATGCATTTCTAACCCTCACCCATGAGCGACACGAGGCAGGTGTTTCATTATAACGAGGAATAAGAATCCAGTGAAAGCAGAGTGGTCCCTACCTGTCAATTATCACTGGATCTGAGGGAGTCTCATTTCGGTTGCCACAGCTTTTCTTGTCACAACAGCGGCTATGGAGCAAAAGCAAAAGGATTTAGTACAGCCATTACAATGTAAAATCATCATTTAGGCAGACAGAAGGTTCAAATTGCTGGGTTGCAAATGCTAGAATTACCACGAAGCCATACCTGGCAATCAGCGGATCCCTGGGACAGAAAATTCTATTTGGGTCACCTATGGGTTAATGGCCAGGCTTAACCTCTCCCCGCACGGAGGAGGAGGGAGGCAAAGGGACTCTCCGGGAGCCAGGACTGACAGCCCCGAGATGGGGTCTCCCCATCACTGCCCGAGGTATTGGAAGAGTTCACTGTGAAATGCATTATTATTACATCCACCCAATGAGAATGTGCAGGGGTGTGGGTGGCTCAAATGTTCTTCCCTCAAGATCACACTAATTGTGTGGAAGGCGTCAATAATGAGGGATGAGTGATTTCTCCCCCTCCAGTCATTCTGTGTTAAATGGATTCCTTTTTCTTCTTTCTTTTGTATGGGAGACATTTTCTTCAACCACAGGCATTCTAAGATAAAGCTGTAAGTGTTTGCTTTTGAACCATCTTCATGAGAACAGAAGTACTGCACAACAATTAAGACAAATAAGATACAAGATACAAGGAAACAGAGATGGCCTTGTCCTCTGGCTCTTGAGCCCTGAGCTGGCCACCACTTAAGATCTCTGCAAGCACCATGGACAGTTGATCGAAGGCCCGGCAGCCCTGAGTGTGGGCACCCTTTATTAGGTCAAAAAACACAGCCATGGGCGGGAAAAGAACCCACTATCCAAATCCCACCCAGGCTGTGACCTCAAGGCTCTCAGATGTTTGTTTGTTTGTTTTTTAACTGAGATGCTTCTAAAAAATAAAAGATTATGGTTTTTGAAAATTACCCATGGTCAGTGGAAGCCTACCATCTGAGCCTCATTTGCAAATAAAGCCATGTGTCCACCGGGCAGGCGACACCCAGAGGTACACTATGAAAGCACGTGTTTGACCAGCCACGGAGGAGAGAAGTTACCCAAGTGTGCACTACCAGGCACCACAAGTAAAATGTACTTTCCTCCCTCTTCTTACACAGGCACACGTATGTGAACACACACACACACACTCTGGACTTAGTGAATCATCCAGCCTAAATTTAGAGCTGCCAGAGAGAACCAAACATTGAACTTCACTTGCAGGACCCAGAAATAATACTTCTTCATAGGGAGTCTTTCACCAAAGTTGGGAAGTCTCTTTCCTGACTGTAACTATATCCCTAAGAAGAGAATCGGCTTCCAAATTTGGTGCTAATTCTGTGTGTCTCTCATATGTGCAGAAAGCAATAGCAAGAATTGTATCTCCTTCTTTCAAAACCCCAGCTAAGAACCACTCCACCACCTATAGCCTTTGTCTTTCTGATTAAGAGGAAACGATTTCCTCCAGGCCAGAGTTCTGCTACACCAGCACTCGGGGACAGAAAGCCCACAGTGTCCCAATGCATGAGACACATGAGAGAACAAGAAATGAGAAGTACAATGGTGGGGATCCCTGAATGCTGAGCCTCTACATTTCAAGGGCAGAAGAACACAGTAGTCAAGGACACTGGCTCTGGAATCGGACTGAGCTACCTGCATCACCTTGAGCAACGTGCTCTCGCTCACAGGGTCTTAGTTTCCTCACTTGTGAAATAGAGCAATTGCTGCACCCACCTCTGAGTGGGGGACACAGAGTCAATGCAATCACGGTGCAAAGCCGGGCCTGAAGGCTGGGCCTACTAAGTGCTCAGCATCATTGTCTCTCCTGGGTCCTACCCCCTCCTCCCCGCCCCCCCCCCATCTGAGAAGGGCTGCCCCATGCTCTGCAAAGGAAGCAAGTCTCCAAGAGCAGCCCATCAACAGAGGCCAAGGCCCCCTTTACCCAGGGAGAAAACCATGAATGAGGTGGCCTATGTCTCCTGTCTGTTTGCCTTTTTATTTTCTTTCCTTTTCAAAATAGCAGTGGCCAGTGCAGTCCGCAGGGACCATGTGCCCTCACCAAGGTCCTGCCCAGACTAAATGCCCACCAGAGACTCCTCCAACTCTCACAATGATAACTTTGTGGTAGAACCTACATCTCAACCATATCTGACTCTCTCCCTTTCCACTGCCACCACCCTGGTCTGAGTCACCTTGATTTCCCCTTGGTCTCCTCCAGTGTCCTCTCACCTGGTCTCCCTGCGACAGCCTGAGGGACCTTTACCAAATGTCAATGAGACTGTATCGCCTCACTGCCCAAGACCTTTTAATGCCTTCCCACGGCACTTAGAATAAATCTATGGCATGACATGATGCCAGACCACCTCCCAATCTCCGGCCACTCTCCTCCAACTTGCCAAGCTGCAGCCTCGCTAGCCAAGTTCAATCTCTCTGATATGGCAAGCTCAGTCTGGCCCCAGGCTCAGGCCAGGGCAGGGCCCCTGACCCACTCTGTTCCTCCTCTGACCACCCCTTCATCAGGCAGCCCCGGGACCCCTTCAAACCTCGGCCTCTGGGCTCTTCCCTCTGAGAGGTTGGCACTGACACCCGCCCTTGATCCAAGTTCACTTTTTCCTGGTGTTTCCTTTCAGGGCTCCTAACACAATGCAAACTGCATTCTTACATATCGATCTGTGTGTTTTTGGTTGCTGTCTTTCTCCTTCCACACCCCTCCCTCATGAACTCATGTCCTTCATAAAGGGAGAAACTGTTCATTTAGTTTACCTAAAGAGTAGCATAAGGCCTAGACTAAGACAGTTCTCTAGAACATGTTCTATTAATTAAGTTCAAATATTAGACTGATAGATCAATTTCATAAATGAATATAATGCACTGGGAGGGGAATACAGTCCAAGAAAAGAGGTGATAAAGAAAGCAAGCCAAGCTGCCCCTGTGGGCAGGTTGGGCCCCTGATGGAAGGAAGGGCCTCCTCCCCTCACTCACCCCCCCCCCCCCCCCCGCTCCACTACATACACTAACCCACCTCCCGAAGGCCAGTGCCACAGTCGGCCGGTGACATGGCCTTTGAGTTAAGCATTGTCCTAGCTCCTTAAAATAAAAGTGCCTCTTAGAGAAGCCAGAGGAATCAAAAAACAGCAAAAGTGAGACCCACCCCTCGGTGCCGTGCCCCAAGGGACCCAGGGGAACAGGCAGATTCGGACAGAAGTGCAGGAGGAAGGACAGAATAGGAACAAAATGAGGGGATGAAGGAATGAGGGGGCTGCTGGAGGTCACTTAACACATTCAAAAAAACTCTAGTCAGAGGGTGAAAAATGGCCCAACAGGTTCCTGTCTCTCGGGTCATGTCACTGCATCTCAGCATCCCCCAAACAGGTTCCAGGGCTCCGCTCCCAGTGACGACAGTATAGTGTCAGGGGTGGGAGTCCACTTGAACTGCAAGTGTGTATGTGTGTGCATATGTACAGTATGTACACGTACATGTGTGTATGGAGCCCTGTGCAGCATTAAAGGAATGAAGGGGAGCCCCGGCCAATGTGGCTCAGTTGGTTGGAGCACAGTCCCTAAAACTGAAAGGCTGTGGGTTCTATTCCTGGTCGGAGCACAGACCCACGTTGTAGGTGCGGATTCTGGGCATGTTTGCAAAAGCAACCAATCAGTGTTTGTTTCTCTCTCTCTCCCCGCCCCACTGACCCCTGACCCCCCTCCACCTCTCCCCACACCTCTCTCCTTTCTGCTCTCTCTAAAAGCAATGGAAACAATGTCCTCGAGTGAGGATTAAAAACAATTTTTAAAAAGAATGAAGGTGGGTCTTCATGCACTCTCGTGAAAAGAAGTCTACGTTAGATTACGAATTAAGAAAACCAAGTTGCAACATACCATGTATAGTATGGTCCTGCTTCTGGAGGAAAAACGTGAGGGGGCCGGAGGGAGGGGAAGAGGACTTGGCGCAAGTGCGGTTCACGCCCTCACTTCACGCACGTCTCTGCCCAGGGTCGCTGCCTGAGAAAGGCCCTCCCTGGCCCCCCGGACCACCCTGGCCCCTTATTCTGCTCCACCCTTCTTCCTGGCACTCACTCCATTGTATTTTACATCTATTGGTCGTCTCCTTTACTGTCTGACTCTCACACTCGAATAGAAACCCCGCCCCCCCGGGGACAGGATCTCAGATCTTTTCTCCACCTTCATATCCCCAGCAACTAGAACAGAGCCCGGCACACTTTTGGAACTCTGAAAATATTTTTTGAATAAATGAATAGAAACTTCAAAGCCATAACCTATGGGGAGTGGGATATGAATGGGGAAGAATGGGGGTACATATTTTACTGAAATACAATCTTCAGTCTTCTGCTTTATACTGCATTATGACTTTCCTATTGACAAATTTAAAAATCAACCATCCCTGGGAGGAAGGTCTTCCCTTATCCTGAGCTGACCTCCGGCCCCTGCAGCTCCCTAGTTCCAACCCCAGCACCAGGCAGGCCTGTCCACCTTCCCGTGACAGTGTTTCCTGCCCACAAGAGTCCCCTGTGCTCTGAGTGGACTTCCCCTACTTTCTTCTGCTGAACTCAGAAGGACCCAGAAAGATGGGCACCAACCTCCACCTTACACAAGGTGGGCCTTACCCAAGAAGGACAGCTGAAAAAAAAAAACCCGATTCACTGTGTTTAAGGCAGAAGAGGGCTCAGAAGGAAACAATACAGTACATGGGGCAGCAGATGCAACAGCATTTCAAAGGAAAAGTTATGGTAGTGATGCAAGGACCCACAGGGATAAGTATGCCCTCGTTACTGTGTGACCGATGGGTCTCCATCTATTCAAAAAGGTGTTTCTTAGGCTCCTACTTAAGTGCCTGTCAGGCCTAAAGCAGGTGTCCACCAGGGCCTTAGAGCTCCCTAATTTGCTTTGTCACGGGAAGGACTCCCACTATTTCACATCGGTTCTCGACCTACAACCCGAAGGAGAGCTTTGGGGCCCAGCACAGGAGTGGGTACCCAGCCCCTGGGGCCGTAAGGACATGGCAGACTCAAAGCAGCAGCCTTTCCCCCAGCAGGCTCATGCACTGCCCGGACATTTCTGCACACCCAGGGAAAGGCAAACGTGTGAGTCGCTTCCTTAGCGGCTTGACACAGGTGGCGCATCTCCAGTGAGCTGACACACAGCCCCATCAATCAGGGCAAGAAACAGACGTTTCCTAGTCGTGGGACCTGCACATCCTCGTCTTAGGAACATGCAGCTCTCTCCTAGAAGTATAGGCTCTCTCAACCGGAGAAAAACATTGTATCAATCTCTAAGCTTTGCAGTAAAAAAGGAAAACATCTTACCTCTCAAACCAAAGTGGCTGGAGAAGGAGATATGGGAGTTCACTGAAGAGTCTGATTAATAGTTGCAGAATAAGTCCATTCTTTCCCTCAGTTTTACATACATTGTCAAGGCTTCCCATTCTCTTAAGTAAGATAAAGATTTGCTTTTTTTTTTTTTTTTTTTGCTGGCCAACTTTCTCCTTGCCAGAGTCTCCCTCACTTCTTGCCACCCCCATAAAAACTGGCTTCACTCACTTAGGGGCCTTTGGCAGCTTTTCTCAGGCTTCTTGTCCATCTGGAGCTCCCCAGCCTGTATAGGGAGGGCTCCCCATCTTGGAAACACCCTCCTCTTCTTTCTGCAGCCTCTGCTCAAGCTGCTTCCCCCTAATTCTCGAGCACAGCACCCCTCCTTGCTACATGTGATGATTCCTCACAAATATATCCCTAGGGCTCTTTGCTCTCCACTCTCCCACGCTTGCTGATCCCTTGTGGGCCCAGAGCTTCAACTCTCACCTTCGGGAAGAGACTCTGAACTTGGTTCGTTTTCAGCCTGGCTCTCTTCCCAGTTCCAGGCCACAGGTCCAACCACCTTGCAACCTCTCCACAGAGAAATCCTACCCGGACCACTAGAAAAACGGGCCCAGACACTTCTTCATGCATCCTCTAAAATCCCTGTCCTACCTCACACTCCTCCTCATCCCTGTGGCTGCTGCCTGCCTGCATGTATGTATGTCCTATCTTCTCTGAATGGCCACAGTCCTTTGCCTTGAGTCTCTTCACAGTGGACCTCTCTGCAGCGCAGTCCACCTATCGGCCCACGCGGTTCCCCTCATCTCTCAGCTCTCCCACTGCAGGACTCAGTCCTTTTTGGCTCAGCATCCCACAGTGCTGTGCACACCGTAGGTGCTCAAAGAATGAATGAAAACATGCTGAAGCACCACAGCTAGGATGAACAAAGTACATACATACTTTTGTAGACACTTCACTTCCTTTCAAAGCTCCTCAACCTTTCCCTCTGAACGACTATGTGCCAGGCACCTAGCTAGACACTCAGTACCACTTCTATGGCTTCTACTACTTCTGATTCTGTTAATATTAATACTCTACTAATACTACTGCTACTACTATAAATAATAACAGACATTCAGAACTCCCTATGTGTCAGGCACAATGCTACACACTTATGGGGATTAGAGCATTTAATCTTAACAACCACCTACGAGATAATAGTTTCCCCCCACCTTTCACACATGGAACGCCCGAGGCACAGAGGAAAACTGAGTAACTTCCCTGCCATAGCAAGGAAGACGAACTGTGCCCCCACGGTTACAGCGAGCTGAGGGCTGTCAGAAGAGGGATGTCTGCCTAACAAGGGGCCAGAGTTGAGGACAAAGGCCAGGGATGCGTCCCTGAAACAAGCATGCCGAAGTGGGAATCTGAAATACACAATCAGAATAAGCCAGCAAAAGAGGAAGGAAGAAGAGGCCGGATCAAGGAAGAGGCTAACCCTGAGAACCAACTCATGCCCCACCAGAAACCAGGCACCGACAATGGGGGAAGATCGCTCTCCTCCGCAGAGCGCCCAACCCCTGAAATGGTCCCGTGCACTGGAGAGAGAGAAACTGCTTCAGCCTGCCCAGGGGGCTGGAAGCCGGGCCCATCTACCAAACATAGTTCCTACTTTCCATTCTCATTTAAACACAGGATGTTGCAATGCACCTATAATCAAATCCCTTATGGACTCCAGCTTTAAAAAAAATCCTTCATGGGGGCCATAGTATTTTAAGACTTTAACCGCCAGGTATTAGCAAAATATAATGACAGATTCCAGTTTATCGAAAATGTAGACACTCTGCCAGAATTCCACAGAAAGCTCTGCGCCATTAAGTCAGAGGTTTTGCCTCAAATAGTGGCAATAATTATAATCTGAGTCCTTTAGTCAGTTCATGCCAGGGGGTTCTCCGCACAACAGAACAAAACAGATCTCTTAAATTTGTAACCACCTGAGACACAAATTTCTTCTCTCCTTTCCTTCCTTTTTTTTCTTTTTTTACTTTTTTCCTCCTTTCCCTGCAACAAAACAGAATCATCCCAAGCCCTTTCCTGTTGATGTAAATTCTGTGTCTCCTTTACCACCCCTCCAACGTACTATAAATATAGAGCTTCTGTGACATAAACGCAAAGTTTTATTGTGCTGTTAGCCTTGATAGAAAGCACAGCAGAAAGTTGTTTAGAAATTAAATATCTAAAACATGCTATTTTAAAATCCAGGGCCCTCACTATTTCATGTCTGCAATGAAGAAATTTCATCTTGGGGAGAGCAAGCTGTCTTTCACACCATATGGCTAATGGTGGTGCATAGCAATTAGCCAGGCTGATTAATGGTGAACAGACTCTAATTTTATGCTTATAATTGAGCCTGCATTTGCACCCCTGGTGCAAATTCAGCACATCCCAACTTCCACTTACAACAGGCAAGAAATCAAGAGAAATAGGATGATGTGGAAAGTGAGATTTTTTTTTCCCTAAAGCCCCCTAAAGAGCATCAGATTTGCAATTTAAAGAAACTGTTAGCCACACAATAGATGACAGGTTGTGGAAGAGGGTCAGGGAGGCCTGGTAAACAAACAGTACCCCTTACACATCTACGGGCAGCCAGGAAACCCCATAATCTGTAACATTAACAGGATGACATTTTGAACATGGCTTTTTCCCTTTCAGCCATGCAGTACAAACAGCATCATTTGCCTTCAGTGGCTTAAGAGTTTTATTTTTGCTATTTTTATGTTTCTGAAAAATAGAAAGAACATCAGCAGTAAAGCACAGCAACCAGCATAATAAAGTACTTTGGACCAATGAATTTTAAGAACAAGAAAAATACAAACTGCATTAATAGAGGGTAGGCTTGTATGTGAAAGGTGTAATATATCTTTAAGGATTTCAAGAACAGAATTATTTCTTGCAGAGTCCAAACATGTACAGATATGAGATGCAAATCTATAACATATAGATATTAGTTGGCCTGTTGGTTGAGATCCATCTTCCTGTTTCCTGTTTTGCTGGAATCACATGTAATAGAACACTGAAAAGTCATTTTAATGACATGCTAATTGTGAGAATCTAAAATAGTCTGAAAAATAGTAATACAAAGGATGTCATGTTTTAATGCTTTTCAAAATTTTTTTACTCCTTTAATTCTAAAAAATGCAAATCAGCTGTAATTGTATGATTGTATACATACAGTATAACACTAATTTTTGCCTAATCATATCGTCTAAGAAATCTGTGACCACATTTTTGGGTTTTGCTACTGCTTTAAAGTTAGAGAAAAGCAAACTGTTTTTGGAGTAACTAACAAGTTTTATAAATCACTGAAGCAAAAAGTTGTGAAACTCCTGTATATTTTAGAATAATATAGTAGAATTATGTTTTTTAAAGGAAATTTTTAGATACATACATAATTCTAGATAAAGAAGTCAATATTTGAGATTTTGGTCAGGAAACACATTAAGCCCTTTCTAATTTATTTCCACCTGTAGAGTTTTAAGACTGATTTCTCCACAAGTCCATGAGCAGCAAATAAAACCCGCCCACACTTAAGTCCTAGCAGCATTGGTCAGGGCTTCACAGTCAGGAGCCAGGTCTGCTTTGTGCCAGGGAGAGCCTGCATGGCTAACAAAGCAATTAGGAGCCTTTCTCTGACACATAGTGGCATCTTCATGCTTTATCCAATTACTCAGAATACATCAGGAGCAAAGTACCAGCGTTATCTTATAAAGAATGAGAATTGTAAAGTGCAAGTTCAAAGGTGCTCTCTGGTCTACTCTCCCCCAGGTGGAGGACTTGAGGGGGGGATGGAACTGAATGTGCTCCACAGGCCTGTTTTCAAATGTAGCCTCAGTCTGATACCATGCAAAAATAAAGACACTCATTGGTGCATGACATGAGTTTTCATACCTTTCAGGGACCCTGAGAAATATTAGTCATGTTGTCATAGTTATATACAGGGTAACTAAGATTAAGAGATCAGAGTCAAGGAGGGGGGAATAAAAGAAAATCCACGCTCAATTTAAAGAGAAACGATGCGTATGTCTGAGCGTCATATTTTCAAGTGGGAGAATTAAAAAGAGGAACTATACCTTAAGTCTTAGCAAACAGAGGCTTCTGCTGACATCAATAGAACTCTTACTCACTTCACTGGCAATGCGGTTGAGTGCATATATTAACACTAAAAGGGTTATATTGTGTTTTATTCGATTGAAAGGAAGAAGGGGAGGGTTCTGCTTTGTGCCCATTAACAGTGTGATATCAAAATGGAAATGTATGTCTTACAGGATGAAATCTAATAAATAATTGAGGACCACTCTGATGCCTGACAATTTAGTACAAAATACTCAGATCTAACCGTTCTTTTTAGGTTGTCTGATGGAAGCAAGATCCATGTGCACCCCAAAATAAACCCGAGTTCACCTAGATTCGGAATCCAAATCCGTCTTCTCTTTGCTAATTAAAGGGAGAGAATAAGGTATTTCTTACCTGCACATGATCTCGTGTGTCAGCAAGACTCGGCACATTTCTGGGTTCTTGTCTTGGCCTTCATACACTATGGCCTGCAAACAAAGGCAGGATTGGAGCTAAGAATGGGGTCAAGTAGCAGAGAACAAACTATCGAAATTGAGTTCTTGGTCATTCCACCCCTGCTGCGGGCTAATTAGCTTTCAGGAGCCTAAAGCCTCCGGGGCTGGTACTTTGGTAAGAACCAAGCTGAAGTGAGTGGAAGGGGCCCGTTCCAGTCTGGCCTGCCAGCCACCCTATGATGATACTCATCTTTGCACCAGCGTGTGAGATGGGCGTCTGTCCTCTCAACTCAGAATAAACATAAACCGAATCAGTGGCAAGAGGAAAACCCAGCAGGTTTATCGGGGTACTACTGATGTAAAATACAGAAAAGTGCACAGATGTGCACGTATTTGCCACCTCATCTACTACTTCCAGCCCCAACTTGTAGGTTCCAGAGTGAGCAGTAGGAAACAAGTGGAGGTGCAATCAATGAGTCTGTTCACTCACTGTCTCCTCTGAGATGATTCATCAACCGGGGCAAAAACCCTTCTTCCCACTAACGGGCTGGAAACACGTGCTCTCCAGAGTGTACACCCACCCGAACAGTAATGCTCGCCAGCCTCTGTGTGGACTTAAGGCACACAGTCGTCACCCTAAACTAAGCAGAATTACATCTGATTCTCAAAATGTGGAGACCCAACCCACCTCACCAGCCAGGATGTTTCCGTCCATTTTTAGTAATGTGTGTGCAACAAACATTTTGCTTAAGATCACTGGGAAGTTTCCCTGAGACTTCGGCTTCCTGGAAGATCTACATGTTAATACCTGAGCCAAAGGAGAACTCACAACTCCTAATAGAACAGTGCTCTGCATTGGGAAACATTTTAACTAACTCAACACTGCATCACTGCGTAATACTTCTACAACACAGCTTCCAATTGTCCATAAAATTACTTTCACACATTCACAGACCCCTCAACTGCTGGGTGATAAAACTACTTCAATCAACCAGAGACTATCTTTATTTAATACATTTGGATGCTACAGTACCTTGTAGTTGGCTCTAACATGTTTTATTTATGAATCTTGGACTTTTGGAGCCTATAAGTAATGGGGAAAGCTTAAAACTCCATGTGTGGAGACCCCTGACCAGGCTCTGGTTAAGGTATCTAACTCCGTACAAAACAAAAACAGCAACAAATTAAAAAATGACAAAAAGGGCCTGCTTAAAAAAGAAACAGTTCCCTACCATTGGCCCATCAAAATGATTTTTTATGGTTAGCCTATTATTTTTAAGTTTTACTTTGGCATAATTTTAGATTTACAGAAAATCCTCAGCAATGTAGGAAGTCCAAGATATTCTTTACGCAGATTCCTCCAATGTTTACATTTTACTAAATTTGCTTTTTTACTTTTCTCTATTTTTTTTTTCTGAACCATTTAGGAGTAAATCACAGACACACCCTAAATACTTCAGCATGTACTTCCCTAAAACAAGGAATTCTTTTACACAACCACAGAATAATTATCTGAATCAGAAAATTAACAGAAACAATAACCTAATCTAAAGGCCTTACTGAGATTCACCAATTACCCAATAACATCCTTGTAACAACAAAACAATATGAATTATTGCATTCCGTTGTTACAAGTCCAATATGGAATATTCCTGAGTCTTTGTCCTTCATGACACCGACACTGTTGAAAAAATACAGGCCAGTTCTTTTGTAGAATACCCTCCATTTGGGTTTGTCTGAAGTTTCCTCAGACTTAAAGTTACACAATTCAGGGCCAGAGCACCACAGACGCGGTGCTGAGTTCTCAGAGTATCAAATCTCACTGCCAGCTAGGTCCGCTCCCGGCAGTAACCTCTGCCCACTTGGTGACGGGGGCGCCCACTGTCCATGGGAGATCACCAGCCAGACCCCCACACCTTCCGTAATTCATAACTATCTTTTGGGGAGATCATCTAGATTGTGTTAATATTACATTATCCCTCAAACTTTCATCATCTCGCTATGGCAGCTCACACTGATGATTCTTTCCGGTATTGTTAAAAAGGAAAACCTTTCAAATACCCAAGAAGTTGCTTTACTCAAGAAAAATGCATTACGGTAGTGGAAAGCATTTTGAAAACCAAAAAATTCTATCTGCCTGCTCTATTGACTGCAATCACTGCTGGAAGACCGAAGCAACAATGCAAGTAACTGATTAGATCTCATCCACAGTGCTACAAAATTCTAATTACTCATTTCTGTAAAATCCTATCATTGCTGTGTTTCATACCTTCTCTTAATACTCCTGATAAACTCCGTTTCAACTTTAGTTTTCTGCCATGCTAACTAATATAAGTTACTTGGTAAATACAATAAATTCACAGGTATTGGTGAGGGGTTTTCCCTCCTGTTAAAAAAAAAAAAAGTTTGGTTCTTTTGGGGAGGAGGGAGTATCCATTACCCCAGACCTTGTTTTGATTATTTCTAAATGACATGTATTCCTTTTACTGAGGCTGTCAATTCCATGAAAATCAGTGGGCCCACGATAATATTCAATTAAAGACAAGCTGCAAAAATGCACGTGACGCCACAAACAGTCAATAATCCACGAACCCCCAGGAATCCCGTGTTTTTGTCTGTGGTGACAGAACATCATTTGCTGAAGGCCCAGGGCCTCTGTAATACATCTCTCTACCAAATGCCACACTGCCACTTCACCTCTGGCAGCAGAGTCAAAATGGAGAGTCTTTCTCGAAATCAAGCACAGAAAAATGAAAGCACGAGTCTGGATTTGCTGCGAAGTGGTTAGGAACTCCGGGAAGAAATGACGCATGAAGCTTCTGCTGCTGCCCCTTTCCTTGGGGCCTCGACAGGACAATATTTTTCTGCACCTAAGCACAGAGGAAGAGGTACTCGCTGCTTCTGTGACTTCTGAAATAAGAGCAAGTGAGACAGGGAGCCTTTTCACTTTATGTGTAAAAACTAAAATCCTTCGAATAGAGTCAACTGGAACTTCGGTGTAACAAGGTCAGTTAGCTATGGAATGGAACTCAAAGACAGATCCACCTTCCATCCCACCAAAAGCAGTTTTTGTTACCAAAAAGGCTTGTTGAAACACACACACACACACGCACGTGCGCACACACACACACACACACACACAGTATCAAGTAAAAGTTATGGGCCAGGAGTCTAATAAGATCCAATATAGAAAACCATGATAAATTCATTTTGACGAATATCACCAAGGCAGAGTGTCAACAAAAAGACTTTTAAAAATGCCACCAAGTTCACCCTCCCACTTATCCACACTACTGATAGCCACACGTCAATCAATTCTCTCCCATCTACATTTAGTACACACACCAGGACTGGTTTACAGTTCAGCAAACCCAGACGTTCAGCCTAAAAGGAAAGGGCCGCTTGAATACCAACTTAGGAAAAAGTTTCTACTTTTCTTCCTAACTTAAGTATATGCTTCTGTGGGGTGTGGGTAAAGCTCATTGAGGCTGGATCAGCTGGGAGATCACGGAAGCACACAGACAGCAGCAACCACTTTAAGTGAAACCATTTTAATAGACAGCTGGTTTAGGGCCCAAACAATGGGACACCAAGAAGAAGGCTTATTTTCATTCTCCATAGTAAATCATGCGTCTGCTCCCTGCAAGGAAGGTAGTCTGCATTGGGAGCGACAAAGACAACAACGGTTTAAATAAATCAGTGTGTTTGTTAGGAGCAAGGATGGGAGGGCTGTTACAGAGATGGGCAGGGGGAAAAGAGAAGGCCCAGGAAATATGTTATTTCAATAAGTGAACTTATGGTAAAGCCAGTTGAAGTTTTAAGCTAAGAAAAAAGAGACAATATCAGATAGAAAATAATGTTTACATTAATCCTGCCAATGGCAAATAAATGCATTAAAGTGGCAAGAATGCATGTTTAGGGGGAAAAAGGTATGAGAATAAACAGAGTCAACTTCATCTCAACTTTAAAAACCTGGTGACGTTGACAAACAAGTTGTCGAAACTTGACATATTTGGAGATTTATTTTTCTGATATACTAACCTCCCTTTTCTTAATGCCCTCTTGTATTAGGCAGAAAGAAAATATGTGATTATTTTTCAACTCGATTAACTTTCAAATTTTAGAGGTTTTTTTTTCCAGAATGTTTTATAATTAACAAAAAATAAGAAGGAAATGGGCATCATTAAACTTTTACATCCTTAAGCAACAATGCAGAAGGTATACTGTGAAAGGATAAAATACCATCCATTTCAAATGCCCAATTATAAACTAACCTAACACATCTTTAAAGAGATATAAATCAATCAATAGTGAAAATCCTCCTTGGTTGCCACAGTTTTAGAAGGCATCTTGTGAAGTATGATTCATCCCTGCTTTTCTAAAATATCACTGGGTTTTAAAAGTTATTGAAACTTACTGTGGATAAAGACCACACAGTAAAACAAAAAAATACACAGTGAACATACACCAGGATCGCACTTCAATAGGATGCCAAAGGAAATACAGAGAATTAAGCATGGCTTTGTTTACTTTTCTAATAGTTTTAACTCCTTGTGATCCAGGCCAAAAGAAAGAGTAAGAAGAATATTTTGACTTTGGTTTGTCAAAATCCAAAAGGGTTTTAGAAACAAAATGTTTTTATTAGACTTTTTTGTTTACAATCACACAATAGGAGATTTGTCATCATTAATTTAGAAAGACAAAAAGAAACAGGGAAAGAGAGAGGGAGGGAGGAAAGAAGGAGGGAAGGAAGGAAGGAAGGAAGGAAGGAAGGAAGGAAGGAAGGAAGGAAGGAAGGAAGGAAGGAAGGAAGGACTGTAACAAAAATTCCTAGTTTTCCATTTAAACCAAAAGAGTAAACTTGAAAATATGTTACTCTTTTTTCCACATATAAAATAAAAGGCCAAACATAACATGTTGCCTTATCAGTTCATTTAAAAAAAATTAGTTCATGAATGGGCCTCCTTGAACCAGAAGTAAAGCATCCTCTAAACACAAATTGTCAACAAGGCTTTGTTAGCAAATTACCAAAA